AGTCCCTTCTAGTGTTTTGGACTCCGACTCCCATCAGCCTGGTGGATTAGTTAGAGCAAAACAGCTGGAGGGAGCCACGTCAGTGAGCCCCACTGAGTTCAGTTCTACTTATTCCAGAGCAAGCATGCAAAGGATGCCCTAGTTAAGTTTGCATGAGATCGCACTGTTGTAAAGGACCAAGCTGTGAAACTCCTGGTGAAGTTTGGGGCACACAGATGAGTGCCCCAAACTCAGTCGGCTATTCTCCAGAGGGGTAGCCAATGTGGTGTCCTCAAGAAGTCATTGAAACTCCAGCTCCAGCCAGCCTGGCAAATGGTCAGGGGTGATGTAGTCCAGCAACAGCTGGAAGTCAGCAAATCAGCTACCCCTGGGGCTAGCCACTGTTGTCTCTGCCTCCATCCTCGTTCCAGTGTGGGAAGAATACTGAGCTGTGCCATAGATTGTGAGGAACCTTAACAAAAGTCAAAGAGCCCTATATGAATGATGCTGATGATATTTCATTGCCTCAGCCGTTATCCCTTCCCTGTCCAAGCCAGCTTTCAGTCCACCGACCTTCTCCAATGGAGTCAGGACTGTTGGGATGAATGGGGTCTCGCCGTCTTGCCTCTTTGCCTTGCGACTCATGCACATTTCCTCTCTCCGTCTAGCCATGTGGTCATCCTGGGGGACATCAACACAGCACACAAGCCTATTGACCACTGTGACCCGGGAGATCTGGTGAGCAAGCTGCCCACTTTCATGCAGCTGCCTTTACGCTCTACAGTACAGGGCCTGGCACTGCTGCTGCAGCGGCAGGAAATCTGTTTCTCACAGACATGCACAGAGTTGGGTGGGGAGTCCTGACACATAGGAAGCTGCCTTACTCTGAGTCAGATCCTTGGTCCATCTGGTTCAGCATTTTCATCACTGACTGGCTGCGGCTCTGGTTTCAGACTGAGGGCATTCAGAAGGAGACCTTCCCAGCCCAACCTTCCTTGAGATGTTGGGGGTTGAGCCTGGGACCCTTCTGCACACAAAGCAGAGGCTGCCACTGAGCCCAGCCCTTCCCAACGTGTTTGGGGATCATGACGTCCTCAAGGTGTGCTTAGAGGGTGAGGAACAGTGAGACAGATTCCCTCACCCACCCCAGGCTGTGAAAGTGGGGAGTATGTGAGTGTGGGTGAATGTGTGCCGTGGTAGGGTGTTTTGAAGTACAGATGTGTTAATAGTTTGTTTATTTATTACTTTATTATTTACTTATTGCATTTATATGCCACCTTTTCTTCCAAGGAGCTCAAGGTGGTGTATGTGGTTCTCCCCCTCCCCATTCCATCCTCACAACAACCCTGTGAGGGAGGTTAGGCAAAGAGATGGTGACTGGTCCAAGGTCTCCCAGTGAGCTTCATGGCTGAGTGGGGATTCAAACCCTGGTCTCCCAGGTCATAGGCCAACACTCTAACCCACGGGTAGGCAAACTAAGGCCCGGGGGCCGGAGCCAGCCCAATCGCCTTCTAAATCCGGCCCGCAGACAGTCCGGGAATCAGTGTGTTTTTACATGAGTAGAATGTGTCTTTTTATTTAAAATGCATCTCTGGATTATTTGTGGGTCATAGGAGTTCCTTCTTTTTTTTCCAAAATATAGTCTGGCCCTCCACAAGGTCTGAGGGACAGTGGACCGGCCCCCTGCTGAAAAAGTTTGCTGACCCCTGCTCTAACCATTACAGCACACTGGCTTAATAGTTGTGGATATTGGGCAAGTGGAGTTCTGTGTTGTGGAGCTGGATGCTTCATTTATCAAAAAATAATAATAAAAATAAATTTTTTATTATTTATACCCCGTCCATCTGGCTGGGGGTGGAGACACTTCTTCGGGTACACTTTAATTTTTCTTTTACATAGTCTTACTTGTAAACCAATCTGCGATGTTTTCTGATGACAAACAGTATATAAATACTTTAAATAAATTAATAAATAGGCATGGCCAGAGTTGTGGGTGATGTGAGTCGTTGTCCAATGACATCTGCAGGGCTGCAGGTTAGTTGCCCCTGTGTTTCGGGATGATGCAAGGGTTACAAGAAGCCAATGCATAGGCAGCACTTGAAAGCACTATGGAAATGTTAATAATAATAGCACTTAATGCTGTCACCTGCAGGAATCCTTTCAGGAGCATCCCGGGCGCCGCTGGCTGGACAGTTTCCTGTGGGAGCCAGACAAGGATTCCCAGGATGGGAAATGCTTTGTCGACACGTTCCGCTTTCTGCACCCAGGTCAGACTGATGCCTACACCTGCTGGTGCAACGTAACCGGGTCCCGGCAGCTCAACTATGGCACCCGCATTGACTATATCCTGGCTGATCGTGCGCTAGCATTGTCAGAGCTGCAGGATGCCCAGCTCATGCCAGACGTCTTTGGCTCCGACCACTGCCCTGTGCGGGTGGCGCTTAGGAGCGTCTGCCTGGGGGCACCCCGCTGCCCACCTCTATGCACCCGCTTCCTGCCTGAGTTTGCTGGCACCCAGCAGAAGCTTAACCGCTTCCTCGTGAAAGTGGAGCGGACCAGCCTGCCAGAGGAGAGGGGCCAAAAACGGGGCGGGAGGGAACCAAGTGTTGCGGGGGGTTCCAAGAAGAGACGGGTGGGTCCACCACAGAAGGGGCAGGGAGATTTGCGAAGCTTCTTCAAAGCTGGAAACGGCAGGCCTAGGGCCACCACCGACAGTGCCAACTACCAGTCGGTAATGAAAACAAGGACAGCAGAAGATTCTGGGGTGGAACATCCTCTTGACGCTTCTGGAAGGATCGCTGATGAGCATGGGGTGGAGGAAGTTGCTGGTGGGACCCAGCCATGCGCTGGGAGTTTGAGAGAGGAGCCCACTCTGGGCCTGGCCAATGGAGAAGCTCTGGATTGTGGGAAAGGCTTGGTCCCCTTTAGTTCAAACCAGTCTGCTGCCCTGTGGAAGTCCCTGCTGCCAGGCCCTGCTCGCCCGCCTCACTGCAAGGCCCATGGAGAGCCCTGTGTCCTGCGGACAGTGAAGAAGCCGGGACCAAACTCTGGGCGGCGCTTTTACGTCTGCGCCCGGCCTCTGGGGAAGCCGTCAGATCCCCGCTCCCGCTGTGACTTCTTCCTGTGGGCCAGTCGGGGGAATCCTTGAATTGAGAGGAGAACTGAAATGAGAGGATGTTAGCGGCGCGGTGACCCCTAAGTGGAAAAGAAGGGGTTGGTTTCTAATGGAAAGTATCCTGGATGTCTCGCTGCCTAACAAGAGAGGGGAAGGCAGCCTCTGTGGCAGAGAGAGGCCTAGGCTTATTGCCGGGGGGTCAAAGAGGTCAGGCCCAAAGTTTCCATGGGATCTTTTTGGGCTGTGCCAGTAGAAACCTACTTTTGAGGTCTTTGATGCCAGACCCTGCAGACAGAAACATTGTTTAAAGAGGAATAAATAATTGGTTTTATTATTAAATTGACAGTTCTACGTGCTAGGACTAACACAAGCTCTGGGAATACGCACACAGACTGCCCTGACTTGTGATGAGCACTTTCTGGATTCATGCCCACCAAACCTGCAGTTAGGCTCTCTCTAACATTGGGTGGAGAGGTGCTCTTGAACGGTGCTTTTGCAGCAAGTTGCTCTTTCCCCTTAACTGCTCTCCCCACAAACCCCTGTAATAACAGTGATGCAATTGCTGGGAGGTGATTAATCCTTATTTGGGGCAGGGGGGATCTTATTTTTTTTTACTTTTGATAAAATAAAGATGTTGGAAAAAATAATCCCTAAATGTTTGCTCTGTGGGAACAGGGAAAGTTGGATTTCTTATGTTCTCTGAAAAGATGGGTGATGCTGAACAGGAGTTAATGGCGGTGCTGTTTTGGCACTCCTGATCATAGCTGTCAGCCGTCCCTTTTTTGCGGGAAATTCCCTTATTTCAGTGTCACTTCCTGCTGCTATCCCGGATTGTTAGATATCCTGTAGACAGCCCCTGGGACTGCTGATCCCTTATTTTCAAATCTGAAAGTTGACAGCTATGTCCCTGATCCCTGTGGCATAAACTGCCTTGAGTGCTTAAGCTATTGTGGTGACAAAGGGATTAAGCCCAGGCTTTGCAGATTAGCACAACTGAGTTCATATTGCCTGTACAGGATTGCCTTGGGGCAAAAAGGTGCGTCTTGCTTCTCTATCTGGGAATAATGCATGAAAATTCCTGCTGGCTGTCATTTGGATTGCAGGACATGGAACTTTCCCCCTTCCATGGGTTTGTGTATGTGCTTAGGGAAAGTGGAGCCCTCTGCTGAGCATCCCTGGTACTACTAGCATTATGCCTTAAAGGGGAAAACCTGAATTGCCATTTGCTCCAATTCAGTGGTTAAAAAATGGGTTTCTCAAGGAAAATGGCTAGGGGTTGGGGAAAACACTCAGACATGGGCTAGGAAAGTGCAAACCTGTGCCTAGAAAGCACAGGGCAAAAGGCAGGTGTGGACAAGCCCTATGTCAGGTATGGGCAGGAGGTAGATTAGGAGCTTATCTGGAGATTCCTGGAAATTTTGTAGTAAATCAGCAAAGATTTCTGACTCCCAGTTTGGTAGCACCAACCAAAGGGCGTCCCCCCCTCCCTGCCCCTCTTCTACATTAGGCTATTGAAATTCAAACAAGAACAAAAGCTTAGGAGGAACCCTGGAATGGAAAGAATTTTGAGCTCAGCTTTGGTGCTGAAAACGAATTTCTATTCCTCCATTCTTGGTGTAAGTCTGCAGATGAGCAAGAGACTTCAAGGACATGTTCCATTCAGTTAAAAAAAAAAAATGCTCAAAGAAGGTGCAGAGCAGGGCTGGTGGAGAGTATGGACTGGGGAGAGTCTGGGGAGCAGATAGGATTGGAGGGCCGCATTTGGCCCCTTGGCTTTCAGTTCCCCACCCCTGTGGCATGCAGAGGCCTGTGCCTTCCCCTGTTCTGCTTGCCACCTAGAGAAGCCCTGCCCATTTGGAGACTTGAATTCCATGAATGTGGGAGGCAGCGAAGGAGACACAGCAGACAAAGTGGCAGATTTTTATTACGCTCAGATACGCTCTTTCCATTTGGCAGCATCAGTGTTGACATCCTTATTGTAAGACTGTGTGTGTGTGTGCAGAGGCTGGCTCTTCAGGCGCAAAGAGTGATGTAGCGGGGCCCCATGTTCCCGAAGTAATCCCTTTCCCACTCGCTCATGAGGGCAAAATGGAGCGGGCGGTGGCAGAAGTTGCACTCGGGGGAGACTGCGGCTTGCAGAGGCAGCCCCACCTCCTGCCAGGCTGCCAGGAGCTTTTCTGGAGAGGGAATGGAAGAAGAAGGCGTTAAATGTAGCCAGGTCATGCTAATTTCAAATTTCATAAGTATAATTTTTTGCTGAGTTGAATAATGGGCAGCTGATTGGTGGTATCTGTGCTAAGCAGCAGCTGGGGCTGGTAGGCCAATGCCCCTGGAGCTGTTGAACTATTGTTTCTGAAGAGGAGTCTGTGGCCCTGTTAAAATCCAGAGGAACCTAAGAATAGCCTGATGGATCAAGCTAAAGACCAATCTAGTCCAGCATCCCATTCTCACAGCTGCCAACCAGATGCCTGAAGGAGCGTCTCCACCCCCATTGTTCTGGCCGGACACTGAGGTCCAGCGCCGAGGGCCTTCTGACGGTTTCCTCGCTGTGAGAAGCCAAGTTACTGGGAACCAGGCAGAGGGCCTTCTTGGTAGTGGCACCTGCCCTGTGGAACGCCCTCCCATCAGATGTCCAAGAGAAAAACAACTACCAGACTTTTAGAAGACATCTGAAGGCAGCCCTGTTTAGGGAAGCTTTTAATGCTAATAAGTTATTGTATTTTAATATTCTGTTGGAAGCTGCCCAGAGTGGCTGGGGAAACCCAGCCATATGGGTGGGGTATAAATAAATTCATGTTGTTGTTATTGGAAGCCTGCAAGCAAAAGCCCTCTTCCCTCCTGTGGTTTCCAGCAATAGGTATTCAGAAGCACTGCTGCCTCCAACTGCAGAGGTAGAGAGAGCATAGCCATCGTGGCTAGTGGCCATTGGTAGCCCTTTCCTCCTCCATAAATATGTCTAATCCTCTTTTAAGGCCATCCTAGTTGGTGGCCATCACTTCCTGGGAAACCTTGACTATGCATAGTGTAAAGAAGTACTTTTTTCTGTCCTAGATCTTCCAACATTCAGCTTCACTGAATGTCCACAAGCTCTAGTGTTAGGAGAGGGATAACAGCTTTTCTCTTTCCACTTTCTCCTTGCCAGGCATAATTTTGTAAACTTCTATTACGTTGCCTCTTACTCGCCTTTTCCCAAAACTAAAAAGGTAAAGGATCCCTGACAGTTAAGTCCAGTCACAGACTACTCTGCGGTTGTGGCGCTTATCTCGCTTTACAGGCCGAGGGAGCCGGCGTTTGTCCGCAGACAGTTTTTCTGGGTCATGTGGCCAGCAGGACTGAATACCGCTTCTGGCACAACAGAACACTGAAACCAGAGCAGCGCATGGAAACGCTGTTTACCTTCCCGCCGCAGCATTACCTATTTACTTGCACTTTTGGATGTGCTTTCAAACTGCTAGGTTGGCAGGAGCTGGGACTGAGCAACGGGAGCTCATCCCGTCACGGGGATTTGAACCGCAAACCTTCTGATCGGCAAGCCCAAAAGTCCCAAATGCTGCAACCTTTCTTCAAAGGGGACCATTCCCTTGATCCAATGGGAGACGAGGCAAATGCCAACCCGGCACAGGTGTAAAGCTCCTAAGAAGCCCAATATATAGACTGCCATCTGGAGGACAGCTGGTTTGGTGCTATGCAAAGGAGCCATAAAACTGATGTGCTCCCCTCTGCTGTAGCATGCAGGTGTGAAGAGGTGAAGATGCCTTTGCTTCTGTCTTCAACAAACCACAGTTTGTTGCTACATGCAAGTCAAGACAAACTTCAGTTAGTTTTAACTATGGTTTGTCCAAAGGAGCCACCTGTAAACTGGTTTATAATTCTGGCTTTTTTACCCAAACCATAGTTATTTGAAAGCAGAAGCAAATGCTTCCCAGTTTATTCACAGCTGTACTGAAAAAGGGAAGCAGGTCCTCAACTATGGCTTAGCATTATGTACGAATGAGGTCACAGCCTCCATTTCTATGTTAGTGGCTTCATTTTTTTTTCTTTTTACTACTCCTAACTGCATGTTTGTAAGCCTACCATTATTAGAGTTTGCAACTCTAGAACCATGCAGTGGTCTTTATTACAGGGAAACACGGTCCCAACTAGATCATGTGGTCCTGGTGACTCACCCACAAAGTAGTTCATCATGGGTGGCGTGTGATGGGGCGAGGGGGCCAGCCGCAGCAGCTCCTCCCCCCGAGGCACAGTCGGGTAATTGATGGCTTGGACGTAGATGTTGTATTCAGCCAGAAGCAGGTCACAGAGGTGAGAATTCAGGGCTGCGTCTCCAACCTGTGGAGGAGAGAACCATACATTGCTAAGAGAGTGAAGCCGGAGGTCTAGTTCCTTGGTCCTGCCATCCTGCCTTTTGTAGCTGTCAATGACCCAGCCAAAAAATCAGCACCATTAAGTCCCTTTGATTTAAGTACAACCGGAGGGAGTCCTTTTACACTTTTGTAAAGCGCTGTGAATGTAGCATGAAAGTAATAACAACAAATATTAATATCAGGTTTCCCCCCGGCGAAATTGAGATTTCAGTGCTTCATATTTGCTGGATTGTGCCATACACTCTGTTGCTGTTCTTCAGAAGACAACTGTGGTCCTCTACCCATAACACTAGATAGTAATTTATTTATTATTTGTACCCCACCCGTTAGGCTGGGTTTCCCTAGCCACTCTGGGCAGCTTCCAACAAAGATTAAAAATACATTAAAATGTCACACATTAAAAACTTCTCTGAACAGGGCTGCCTTCAGATGTCTTCTAAATGTCAGGTAATTGTTTATCTCTTTGACATCTGATGGGAGGGTGCTCCACAGGGCGGGCGCCACTACTGAGAAGGCCCTCTACCTGGTAGCCAGAAGGCCCTTGGCGCTGGTCCTCAGTGTATAAACCCATGACTGCCCTGGGCTTTCCCCACCCTCCTCCTCTCCTCCCCACTGGAAGGAGGCCATTTTGTATAATTTTCTTGGAGTATTTCCTACCCTTTGTGTGTGTGAGAGACACATCATTCACCACCACCACCACCACCACCACCAAAATACTCAGAATGGTGTTAGGTCCAGGACCCCGTGGAGGATGCAAAAACTTCCAACATATTCACTTGCAGCAGCAGCAGCAGCAGCAATAAATAAATAATGTCAGGGGGAAACAACCACCCCATGCATTTAAAATACATTCATACCACGTTAACGGTCACAACTTCCTCCAAAGTATCTGGGAACAGTAGTTTATCTGTCACAGAACTATAATTCCCAACACTCAAGATTATTTGGGGGTGGGATGGGGGAGCCACATGCTTTTAATGTAAAATGTGGGTGTGACCAAAGAAAGAAGCTGCGCTACTCCTGTTGGAGAGCCCTGCCTGTAGAAAACCTGCTTGATGGGGAACTTTTACCCTCCAGGTGTTATAGGAGTCCCAATCATCCGAAAAAGAAGGAACATTTTATCACATGTGGTGGGAATGTAGAAAAGTGTAAAACTTCTGGGAAATGATATATAATGAGATGGAAAAAACGTTGAAATATACATTTATTAAGAAACCAGAAGCATTTTTACTTGGCATTGTAGGTGAGGATATAAACAGAAAGGATTGTAAGTTATTTTTATATGCAAGAATATTATTGGCACAAAACTGGAAACAAGAATTACCGACGAAAGAAGAATAGAGAATGAAATTGATGGACTATGCAGAATTAGATAAACTAACAGGAAGGATTCGAAACCTGCGGGACCAGAGATTCTCAGAAGACTGGAGTAAATTTACAGACTATTTGAAAAGTAATTGTGATGGACAGACTACGCTAGTAGGTTGGCAAGAAATTTTGTAAAGTGAATTATTTGAAATATTGCAAAAAAGACAATAAGGAGAATTATTAGTTAAAGATAATTAAAGGTAATATGAATTTAATAAATGCATAATAAGTGATAAGAACGGGAAATCATCAGAGGCTTTGACGGAAGTCCAAAAAATATTGTATAAGATGTGAAGTTCTGTTGTATGAAGGTTAATTAATATGTTAAAAACTAATAAAAGTGTGTGTCTGTGTGTGTGTGTGAGTCCCAATCATCATCATCCCTGACATAAGAACATAATGATATTTCCGTATAACAATAAGAAGAGCCTGTTGGAGCAGGCCATTTAACCATTTTGTTCAGCAACCTGTTGTCACGATGGCCAACCAGAGGCCTCTGGGAAACCTGCAAACAGGACCCAAGCACTCTCTTCCTCTGGCGGTTTCCAGTAACTGGAATTTGGAAGCACTGCTGCCTCCAACTGGGGACCACGCTGCCTGGGTCTGAAAGGCTACAGGCTCCCTAATAATAATAATAATAATAATAATAATAATAATAATAATATATTTATACCCCGCCCATCTGGCTGGGTTTCCCCAGCCACTCTGGGCGGCTTCCAAAAAATATTAATACAATAACCTATTAAACATTAAAAGCTTCCCTAAACAAGGCTGCCTTCAGTTGTCTTCTAAAAGTCTGGTAGTTGTTTTTCTCTTTGACACCTGATGGGAGGGCGTTCCACAGGGTGGGTGCCACCACCGAGAAGGCCTTCTGCCTGGTTCCCTGTAACTTGGCTTCTCGCAGCAAGGGAACCGCCAGAAGGCCCTCGGCGCTGGACCTCAGTGTCCGGGCAGAACGATGGGGTTGGAGACGCTCCTTCAGGTATACTGGACTGAGGCCGTAATTTCTCCTCCCCCCTGGAGAAACTTGGTGAAATGGCCCTCCCTATTTCACCCCTGGCGAACAGAGTGCGGAACTTAGAGAGGCCGTTTCTGCGTAGTTTTCGTCCCGGAGAGCCATACCCGTATGGGGATGATGTGACTGGGGCAGCTGACCACAGGGAGCCCGGCGTCCATCAACAGCTGGCGCATGTGTTTGACGTTGCGCTGGTGGGAGCGGCGCAGAGCCTGCCCCTCGGGGCTCTTCAAGACCCGGACCGATTCCAGGGCCCCGGCCAGCACCATGGGGGGCAGGGAGGTGGTGAAGATGAATCCCGCCGCATAGGAGCGCACTGTGTCGATCAGAGACTTGGTGCTGGCCACATAGCCGCCCACACAGCCGAAAGCCTTCCCTGCAAGGGGAGGGAAGAAAAGGCAGACATTAGTCCATGGACTCTGGAAGCTCTGCACTGAAAATACAATGGTGAATGCTGCATGCAGACAATCCAAACTGTGTGCTAAAGGGAGTTGGGTTCTGCAACTTGCATTAACTTTAGGGAAACAGAGGAACCTCATGTGTCTTATTTTGCATCCTTGTTTCAACTTGAGATGGAACTGCCGGCATCCGTATGTCTCGAGAGACAATGGAGTACGCCTCTGAAGGTGAAGTGAAACTGCTGTGTTAGGAGCACTGAAGTGACCTCCCCAAACCTGGGTGGTGTGTATGGAGGTCCTGGGCTGCCCAGATGACAAGATGTGGTCTCACTGATGTGGTCTAAAGAAAGGAAAGTAATACGTTTGGCACCAGCTTGGCTGCAAGAGTTGCCAGAAGGAGGCATACAAGGTGCCATTCAACTGCCTTCAGGATTCGTGTAAGGCTTAAAGGTAAAGGGACCTCTGACCATTAGGTCCAGTCGCGGACGACTCTGGGGTTGCAGCGCTCATCTCGCTTTATTGGCCGAGGGAGCTGGCGTACAGCTTCCAGGTCATGTGGCCAGCAGGACTAAGCTGCTTCTGGCAAACCAGAGCAGCACCAGGGCTTACTCCTTAGCTTCTTCTTCTCTTGAAGATGCTTCCTTTCCAGGTGGATGAGCCCCATCTGCCCCTCACTTCCCTCTACAGCACATGAAGACCACCTTCTTGACCATTGGTCTCATCTGCTCAATCTGCCCAAGCCTGTCTTCACATGCAGGGGAAGTTCCTAACTCACCAAGGGTTTGAGACCTGTTGGCTACCCTCACCTGGTCTAGCCAGCCAGTCGAAGCTGTTCCAGGTGTGGCCACTGGAGAACCACTTGCCTCCAACATGGTGTTCCTTCCTGACCAAGTCTACCCCATCATCTTAACTTGCTGCTCTGTGGCACCGAGGACCATAGAGTTTTAGGCCATCTTTTAGGCCACCTACTTCAACTTCCTGCTCGGTTCAGGAAATCCAGTGCTAGAACATCCCTGACCTTCACCGTAGTCCATCCCTTCCTGATGCCCTTTTCATTAGGGGCCGTGGCTCACCCTCAAACTCACCCAGGGTGCCAGAGACGATATCTATCTTGCCCATCACTCCGTCGCGTTCACCAATGCCAGCCCCGTGGGCCCCGTAAAGTCCCACCGCGTGAACCTCATCCACGAAAGTGATGGCCCCATAGCGATGTGCCACGTCACACATTTCCTCCAGTGGGCAGATGGCACCTGCAGACAGAGAAGACTTAATGCACGAAGGATGCTGACCCTTACTGGCAACTTTAGCCTGGATTGCAAAGGAGGTGCAGTAAGGAAAATGTGCAGAGTAATGTTTTGAAGATCAAATGTTTTGAAGATCTCAGCTTTGATCAAATCCAACACAGGATTTCTTTTTTAGCTCTTCTATGTAAAATCAAGGATGAGGAACTTCTGGACCTCCAGACTACGACTCTCAGCATCCCTGACTGGGGCCGATGGGAGTTCGGGAGCATCTTGGAGGGCCACAGATTCCCAGCCTCTAGGACAAATGAACTTTCTGCTGGTAATTGTTTTATCATGCATGCTGACTTTGGATTTCAGTGTGGAATTTGATTGCCTTGTTATTGTTATTGTTATTGTTATTGTCATTAACTTAACTTATTACCCATGCTTCACTATAAGGTCCAAAGGTGGCTCACCAACAATTCAAAATGCAGTATTAAAAACAGTCACAAGAATAGGGTGGGTCCTAAAAGATGAATCTCTTAATATGCTTAATTTTTTGTTTTATATTGATTTTACGTTATCTGGAAAATTCATTATGAAACAAATAATAAATATTAACAACATACAAATGCATTACCCACCATCCATGGAATGGACAGTCTCAAAGGCAACAATCTTTGGGGTGTCGGCATTGGCTTTGCTCAGGAGCTCCTCCAGGTGTTGGGGGTCATTATGCCGGAAGACATACTTCGGTGCTCCACTGTTTCGGATGCCCTGAATCATGGAGGCATGGTTTCCTGCGTCTGAATAGATCTCACACCCTGCAGGAGGAAAAGGAGCCTCTGGGTCACCCACCAAGCCTCTGCTCTCCCCCTAACTGGAATAAGAACAAAGGAACCTGCCTTACACTGAGCCAGATCCTTGGTATGGGGGAGAAATTTGATCCAGTTCATGTTTAGCTGTGACTCCTGTATCACAGGGACTTAGACTAGATGGCTTTTGGGTCCCTTCCAAGTCTACAATTGCATGATTCTAAATGCTTTCAAGGTGGACCTATGTCATTTGCATTTCCCAAAGCAAATACACAAATCTAAACACAACCATCTTTTGATATTCACCCTGTGTTGTATTTGCACTATGCTATATTTGCTACACAGGGACATGGGTAGTGCTGTGGTCTAAACCACAGAGCCTAGGGCTTGCCGATCAGAAGGTCGTCGGTTCGAATCCCTGTGATGGGGTGAGCTCCCGTTGCTCAGTCCTTGTTCCTGCCAACCTAGCAGTTCGAAAGCACCTCAAAGTGCAAGTAGATAAATAGGTACCGCTCTGGCGGGAAGGTAAATGATGTTTCCATGCGCTGCTCTGGTTCGCCAGAAGCGGCTTAGTCATGCTGGCCACATGACACGGAAGCTGTACGCCGGCTCCCTCAGCCAATAAAGTGAGATGAGCGCCGCAACTCGAGTCATCCGCGACTGGACCTAATGGTCAGGGGTCCCTTTACCTTTACCTCTGCAGCAATGTATGCAAAATTGCACACACGGGTAAGTGCATAGTTAAAATACTAGGAGGATTTTGCCTTAAAATACTGATAATTTTTCAGGAGGACTTTTAAAAACTAATGTAGAAACACGGAGAAATGGATTTAAGACTGGAAAAAAAGAGAGAAACCAGCACGGTCAAATTTACCCATCCTGAGTCAGACCACTGGTCTATCTGACACAGTACAGTCTCCACAGGATTCCAGAGCGGGGCTTCTCTCAGCCCAACTTGGAGATGTTGGGGATTGAACCTGGGACCTTCTCCATGCAGAGCCCGTGGTCCTTCCCCTATCTTGGCTCCCAGCCAGGCCCTAAAGGCCAACCCACTGCATTGCCCTGGTTACCTGGCATCATGCGGGCCAAAGTGAAGAGGGTGGAGTCATTGGCCACAAAGCAAGAAGAGAAGAGCAGGGCAGCGTCTTTGCTGTGCAGGCTGGCCAGTTCTTGCTCCAGCTCCACGTGGAACTTACTGGTGCCAGAAATGTTCCTGGTGCCTCCAGCCCCAGCTCCATAAAGATCCAGAGTATCCCTGGTGAGGATAGGGTGGAAGAAGAGGAGAATGAGATGCGCTCCAAAAGGGGCTGAACTCAGAAGGTTAATCACACCTGGATCGCCAAACCAGATAAGACCATGGAGACCCTTGATCAGATCTTGGGTCCCTTTTCCATTCTTTTGCAAAGCAACTGTGGGGAATCTGGTTCAAGCTGGGGCCACCCTCAGTGCTAGGAAGGGAGCATGTTCACCCTTTTCCTCCTTGCCACGATCCCATGAAAATTGCCTCCTAGGAACTGGAAGCTGTGGTTTGCCCCACCATTAGTGAAACCTACAGCTATGGGTAAGTGCTCAAAGATGGTTACATTTTAAAAAGGGGTTTGGGTTATGGACCAAAAATTGGAAATTACAAGATGTACCAACAGTGGAGGAATGGCAGATGAAGATGATGGACTTTTGGGAGCTAGCCGACCTGACCGGAAGAGTCCGAGACCAGAAGGAGGAGGAGTACCAGGAGGAATGGAAGAAATTTAAAGACTATTTAGCTAAATATGCTAAGATAATCTAAACAGAATTACTTGCAAGTATCAGATTGGCCTAGGATTTAAATATGGGATGTTATAGAATAATATGTTTAATGTTAAAATGAAAGTTAAAAAGAAAGATGTTAATTGACTAAGTAAATTTCATGTGAAAATAGTTTTGGAAAACTGCTACAATGGTATATATAGAAATTCAGCCAGGGGGATTCGAGGAGGTCACCTAACAATGTTAAGAAAAGAGGAATTATTATAGTCAGGATCTATGTTTGTTTGTTTGTTTTTTGATGTCTTCTTTTTATATTTATTGATATGTTTGTTATAAATTTGGAAAATTAATTTTAAAAAATGGGGGGAGGGGGGTTTGGGTTAAGCTGCATCCAGGGTTAATTCAGATCTGACCCGTTGAAATCAAAGGACTTGTTTCCATCAGTCCTAATGTGTCTGCTCTGAGTAAGATTCATGTTGGATACAATCCCTGCTAACCCATAACAGAAAGTTCCCCAGGCAGCCTACAGAGTAAGCTCAAATTAAAAGTCACATTACAATAAAATACAAAAACCACACCGTGTGCTATCTTCATGGATCTGTTGAAAGAGGGTGGGCGGGCTTATTAGGATGGGGAGGGGGCTGACACTGACAGGACAGGGTCTTGCCTAAGCCCACCCATTTATGGCTGATGTAAGCTTTGAATCAGAGACTTTCCTGCTCATTCTCTTACTCACTAAGCTGCCTAGAGTCGGAGACAGAAAACACTTTTAAAAGGGTTTAAAGAGGATTGGGAAAGGGCCCCAAAGCATACACACATTGATTTTCTCTCTGCCACCTTCACCTCTGTTTCAAACCAGCACATTTAAAGCTAATGGTTTCCCGCAAAGAATTCTGGGAACTGTAGTTTACCCCTCACAGATTATGTGGGCGAAGCCATGCACTTAAAAAGTGCTTTGAATGTATGGGGTGGACTCTAGTTTACTCCTTCCCAGAGCTACAATTCCCATTATTGATTTCCTGCTATGACCCCTGACATAATGCCTCTGCAGGGCATTGTGGGAAATTTAAATGGCAACTCCTGGACCCGGACACATTTTGATGGGAAGGCCAGGGTGGTCCTGGGTCCTGGGCAGTGGCCTCAGGATGCTGAGGCTGAGCATAGGTAAAAATTGGGGCAAGAGTTCACAGCACAAGCAGCTACCCATTTTTCAAATCTCCTTCATCTCTCCAGAGAAAACAAAAGAGCTATTGTCTGTTTCCAGCCTAGGAGCTAGACAGGGGTCAGCAAACTTTTTCAGCAGGGGGCTGGTCCACTGTCCCTCAGACCTGGTGGGGGGCCGGACTATATTTTGAAAAAATAATAATGAACGAATTCCTATGCCCCACAAATAACCCAGAGATGCATTTTAAATAAAAGGACACATTCTACTCATGTAAAAACATGCTGATTCCCAGACCGTCTGCGGGCCGGATTGAGAAGGCGATCGGGCCGGATCTGGCCCCCAGGCCTTAGTTTGCCTACCCCTGGGCTAGAACATCTTTTCCTGTTTGCCTGACCCCATGATCATGTCAAAGGGCCATCACACTGAGTTTCAAAAGTGAACTGGGGCAGGTTGCAAGGGCAATGCTTAACAGCTTGAAACAGACCATTGGAACTAGACGAGGTGTGGGCAGGAGAGAGTTTGTGCTGGAGACATTGCCGGGCAGCTGCCACTCACCGGATGGCCTGCATGACTCGAGGGTGGCGGCTCATTCCCAGGTAGTCATTACTGCACCAGACCGACACCTCACGGGCTTCCACCTGGGAGCCAGAATAGTCCTCAGCAAAGGGATAGGCGTCAGCCCTTCGATTCACGGTCTTGAAGACCCGGTAGGTGTGATCTTGCTTCTTCGCTTGGATCTTTGCCTCAAAGAAATGGTCGTACTCAAACACTTTGCCCCCTGCTAGGAAAAACACAGGGCTGGTTAACACAATCCATGGGAATCACTTGATTTCTCTATAATGGATGACTTCGCACCTGCAAGACTAAGCTCCTGAGAAGCAGCCTGTGAGAGAGGGCAGGAAGGTTCTGTTTACGTGGAGTCAGGGGCAAGTTCTGATGGATCATGGGCCATGCTGTCAGACAGAGTGGCACAGACTCTCCAGGGGCTGTCGGAGGCTGTCGGTTTCTTCTCTGCATGAGTTACTGCACTGCCCTTAGTAAAGGTAAAGGTAAAGGTACCCCTGCCCGTACGGGCCAGTCTTGACAGACTCTAGGGTTGTGTGCTCATCTCACTCTAGAGGCTGAGAGCCAGCGCTGTCCGCAGACACTTCCGGGTCACGTGGCCAGCGTGACAAAGCTGCTCCGGCGAACTGGCACCAGAGCAGCACACGGAAACGCCGTTTACCTTCCCGCTAGTAAGCGGTCCCTATTTATCTACTTGCACCCGGGGGTGCTTTCGAACTGCTAGGTTGGCAGGCACTGGGACCAAGCAACGGGAGCGCACCCCGCCACGGGGATTCGAACCGCCGACCATGCGATCGGCAAGTCCTAGGCGCTGAGGTTTTACCCACAGCGCCACCCGCGTCCTGCCCTTACGTGCCCTTAAATTGGCCTCTCCTGGGAGGAAACTAATTTCACCCCATCTCTGCATAATAATAACAATAATAACAATAACAACAACAACATTATTGACAATTTTATTATTTATATGCCGCCCATTTGACTGGATTACCCCAGCCACATTGTTTGATTGGACATAATGGGTTGTATCCAAAGTACTACTATGTGAATGTCCCGTCAGTGCAAGGACTTCTGCTTGCACAATAGAACATTCTCCCCTTTCCTCCCCTTGTACACCCCCCCCAATCTTTTCTAGGGGTTCCCCCAACACTCTGGAACAGATTGGGAGAGGGTGTGGAACGGGGGAGGAGGGTGGGGAGTCCTGGTGCACAAGCAGTAGTCCTTGAGCTGACACGTTTGTCGGATACTGCTCTTCAATCATCCCCAGTTGAGAGTCCCAGTAAAAATAACCTGCTCTTAGAGGAGGCTGCCTGTTGTGTCTCTGTGTGACTAGCTGCTTTAAGTTTGCCTCTTTTCAATCAGACAGCATGTGTATAACATCAGGGACTGGGAGAAAAACAACAACACAGGGTATGGCCTCCTCTAAAGGTGAGTATGCTTTATTTCTTACACAACTTAAAAGTAAACTTTTTTTGGGTGGGAAAAAAGTGATAGCCAATTCAGACAAGGCTGGAATGCTTAATTGCTAGCTCTGCGTCTGACACACACATGGCAGGTGTGTGTGTTACTTACGCTGTCTCCTCGTATGAGTAGTTTTGGGAGTCCTCCCATTCACTAACCTGGCATGTTGTCCCGAATGAGGTGTGACGCTTTGTCAGAATCGAGCAACTTCCTCTTGAGGCTGGACTGCACTTCCCTTACTAGGGAAGTCCACATGCCTAGAGGGAGAAGGACGAGTGGGTCATGGCTAGGGAAAAGTCGAGGATGGGAGCTCCCCCTTCCGCTTCACTTCCCCATAGGATGCAGGCTTCTTCATTCCCTACCTGACTTGAAAGGCCTGACATCTTCCTGGACCTCAGGTTTTGCCTCCTGCACAAAGGAATTCTGGCCGCTTTTGCGCTCTGACTCCATGAAAGGGCACTGCGTGGATGGGAGAAGCAGGGGTGCCCTCTGCGCGGCGGATCCTAGTGGGCAGAAGAAGGAGAGGAGAACCCAGCTGGTTCCATCTTTCAGATGGTGGCCCCCATAGGGACTGTACTCCACTTGGCCCCAGACTTTTTCAGAGCTGGATGTAGGAATCTGCCTTGTCAGGCTATAAGTAAAGGTAAAGGACCCCTGGACGGTTAAGTCAAGTCAAAGACGACTATGGGGTTGCGGCGCTCATCTGCGTTTCAGGCCGAGAGAGCCGGTGTTTGTCCACAGACAGCTTTTCAGGTCAGGTGGCCATCATGACTAAACCGCTTCTGGTGCAACACAACACCGTGACAGAAACCTGAGCGCACGGAAACACCGTTTACTTTCCTGCCACACCAGTACCTACTTATCTACTTGCACTGGCATGCTTTCGAACTGCTAGGTTGGCAGGAGCTGGGACAGAGCAACGGGAGCTCACTTCGTTGCAGGGATTCGAATCGCCAACCTTCCAATCAGCAAGCCGAAGAAGCTCAGTGCTTTAGACCACAGTGCCACCCACGTCCCTTGTCAGGCTAGGGGTGCGTCCAACTCTTTCACATCCGCACCACAAATTTAAAGCACTCTCATAACACTTTGATGGTCATAGAGAATTCTGGGAATTGTAGCTTGTTAAGGGCACTGACCTCACAGAGCAAAAGGCCCAGTGCCTTTCACAAACCACAGTTCCCAGAATTCTCCATGAGTTGTATGGTATGAGTTGTACGGTGAAGGTCTCAGACCGATCTCTTTCCTATCGCTTGTTCCTTAAACCATTTCTAACTGGAGATGAAGACGACTGGACCAAAACATGTTCTGAGCCACTGAGCTGTGCTCTGGTCCCGCCTCACATAAAATCGAAATACCTTATCTTTTGGACAGAGCTATTTTTCCTAGAAAAAGAGGTGCTGGGAATCACTTGTTCTCTCATAATGGCAATGGCATCAACCTGAGAGGAGCCAGAACTGAGTTCTGGCTGAAAGAAAGTCCTGATTTTGGATCTTTCTTTCCCTTCTCCTTCCTCTCGTGTCAAGATTGCTTAGCTTTTGAGCCAGGTCTCAGACACAGAACCGTTTTTAAATGACCAGACTCCCTCCTGGGGTAGGAATCCTGTGTCTGGACTGCACCATGCCGGATGGCAGAAGTGGTATTCCTGTGATGGAATTCTTCCTCCATTTGGCAAATCTTTTCCCAGCTGAGCCTTTTTAGAGAATTACTAAGTCCCAAAGTTAAAAAAAAAAGGAAAAGGTCCTCTCTACTCTCCCCCACAACAGGCATCAGCGGGCAAGAAGGGAATGGGGAAGTAAGAGATCACTGGCAAGAATTGTGATCCTGGAGACAGAGTCTCCATACCTTGGATCTTTCATATTTTTAGGGAGGTGGGGGTATGGAGAATGGAGGAACATTACGTGATAGGGCCCCTATAACTGACTGCGCCTTCCTACAAAAATTAAAAATTTCCCTGCACACAGAAAACGATCCTGTCAGGGAGAACTCTGGGCTAGAATCTTCTTCCTAGATTTCCGTACGCTGCAGTCTGAAATGCTACAGTCCAGACAGGCAATTTTACCACCTGCCATGGTAGGCCATATTTATTAAAATAAATCATGTAGTATGAAGTTGCTGGCGTTGTACCATTTTCAAACTGCCTTAGATGAAAAATGTTACCCCACATCTAGGGGTGGGGAACAAAAAACTATCCTGTAGGGGAAAAGGATTTGAACCTAGCCTTCATCCTGACAGGGTAGTTTTCTATAAGCAAGGATTTAATTATTATTTTTTTAATGGAGGAGCTTTCAAGCACTGTTTATTTATCAAATACTGTTTGATAAAGGCCCCCAAAGCAGCATATTCAAACTACAATAAAGTAGAATAAAATGGGATGAATCCATCGTCAGTTTCCCCTTGCCATAATATCTGGAATAATATAGCCCAAAAACACATAGTTTATCTGAATAGGTAGATCCATTCATTTCCCACTGGACTTTCATACTGCCATATTGGATTCTTCCAGATCTAATAACTGTACAAACACACCCCCTGTGTTGAAAGAGCGTATACTGTGTTTTGGGGGAGTGTTATGAGTACATCCACACCATACATTCAAAGTGCATTGAAAGCACATGGCTTTCCCCAAAGCATCCTGGGGATGTTTTTTAAAAAAAATGTTTTTAATGTTTAAAATTTTTATTTTTTCACCAACAACCAAAACACAAACAGTGAAACCCTCCAGGCGGCTGATACACTGGGTATACATGAAATCAACAATAACATATTCAAATCAACCACATGTACAATTTTATATACGTTAACACTCCTCCATCCACAAGGCTTATTTAACTTTTAACATTTTAATTGCCCCAAATTGTTCAAACCTACCCAAATAATTCAATATCTTCTCAAACCAATCCTCCTCTTTCTCACTGACCTTAAACCCTTTCATTCTGTGTATCTTCACAGTTCGGTATTCTAAAATTATAATATTATTCAGTTTTTTCCTCCATTGGTTCACCTCTAACTCTTCTGCATTTTTCCAATCACTCGCTATAACCTGTCTGGCTGCAGTTACCATCAATTTTACCCATTTACATTCCTCTTTTGTTTTTAACTCGGTGCTACTCAGACTAATAAGAACCATTAATTTAGATATTCCCACCCACAATTCCCGATACCTGGGAACGGTATTTTGCCCCTCAGAGAGCTACAATTCCCAGCACGTGTAACAAACTGCATTTCCCAGGATTTCCTCGAGGGTGTGCTTTCAGTGTGTGGACGAAACCCCTCTCCCCTCAGCTGGACGTTTTACCCAGGGCTCTTGCCTGTGAGCCCACCCACTGCCTCACCAGTATCTCCATGGGTCTCTTTTCCCTGCTGCTGGTCAGCATGAGAACGAGAGAAGGCTCGGGCCACCATCACAGGGCAGCGCTGGGCACTGCTGACCAGCAGGGGCCGACATCGGCGCAGGAAGGTGGTCGGGTCCCGGGTCAGGAAAGGGCAGCACTGGAGGATTGAGGCCATTGTGGCGTGCCAAGGTCTGGTGCTACACAGAGAAAGAGAGAAGTCAAGGGAGGTGCTGGGAGAGCCCCTTTGGCTGAGGCTATACCACAGCTCCTTAGCCACAGAATGGGATCAGTATCAAAGAAGGAGCCAGGGCATTACTCACCAATGTCCAAGCAATAACCATCAGGTAAAGGTAAAGGTAAAGGGACCCCTGACCATTAGGTCCAGTCAAGGACAACTCTGGGGTTGCGGCGCTCATCTCGCTTTATTGGCCATGGGAGCCGGCATACAGCTTCCGGGTCATGTGGCCAACATGACTAAGCCACTTCTGGCGAACCAGAGCAGCGCACGGAAATGCCATTTACCTTCCCGCCAGAGCGGTACCTATTTATCTACTTGCACTTTGACGTGCTTTTGAACTGCTAGGTTGGCAGGAGCTGGACTGAGCAACGGGAGCTTACCCTGTTGCCGGGATTTGAACCGCTGACCTTCTGATCTGCAAGCCTTAGGCTCTGTGGTTTAACCCACAGCGCCACCCGCATCCCCTAACCATCATGTACTCACTGGTTAAAAAAGAGCTGCCACCTGGCTGGATTTGGACTGCCCAAAAATGGAAAGAAGAAGGAGTCCCAGGAAAAGAGGAATGGATACAAAAACTTATGGACTATGCAGAAATGGCAAAACTTACCGGAAAAATAAGAAATCAAGATAACAAACTTTTTTATAAAAGAATGGAAATGGTTTATGGAATATTTACAAAGGAATTGTAAACAGACAAGAACATGGGCAGGATTATTGTAACAACCTTCAGTTTCATAAGAGTACATTTTAATGTAGATGAATAAATGAGCAAATTAAGTTAATTGGGATATGCAGAAAATATTAAAATAAATTTAAGGAATGAGGGGGAAGGAAGTCAAGTTTTGAAATGTTAAAATGACTGTAAATTATTGAAATGTATAAACTTGAAAATCATAAATTACGCATAAACACACACACACACACAGAGAGAGAGAGAGAGAGAGAGAGAGAGAGAGAGAGAGAGAGAGAGAGATTTGGACTGTCTGCCCCGACCCCAAGCTGACAGTCTCACCAACACAAACATTTTGAGTGGAGAATATCTGATATGTGGCCATAAGAGCTATACCTTTGAAGCACATTCAAAGAAGAGCGCCTCAAAGAATTTTGGGCACTGTAGTTTGTTAAGGATTGCAGGTAATTGTAACTGTTTGAGGGGGTAAACTGCAGTGCCCATAATTCTTTTGAGGGAAAGAATGCCCTTTGAATTCGCTTTATAGTCTGTGCACATCCATGGCCAAACCAAACATCCACCCCAGCGCTTAGGCAAATGCAGGTGATTTAAGAGTACTTTGTGAGGAAAGGGAACTCCATTCCCCCTTTTCTCTTGCCTCATTCTCTTTTCTTCTTTCCGCCTTCCTCCTGCACTGTTGGAATATTGGCTGAAAGCTCCTTGCATATGGGGTCCTGAATTCTTTTTCTCTTTTTGCTTTCATTGCTCTGATGACTCTCACAGTAGTTTTTTTTAAATTAATGGTAATAGAACAATTTCAATAATAGTGCCTAGAGAGAGGGTTTTCTCAGTTGTGGCCACTTGTATTTAGAATGGTCTCCCCAGAAAAGCTTGCTTGCCACCAACTCTGAAGACATGTCAGCACAAGGCAAAGACGTTTTCATTTGCCATGGGCAGATGTGGGAAACCACTGGCTGTCCAGATGTAGCTGAACTACAACTCCCATTAATCCTGGCCATTGGACGTGCATTCTGGAGCTGATGGAAGTTCAGTAACATCTGGAGGGCCAAGGTTTCCCCACACCTAGCCTAGAGCCTTCCAGCATGCTGAGATGAGCTGGATTTTGCATTTTCACGCCTTCTATTGAACTTGATTACTTTGTTTTTGCTGGTTTTGCAATTTTATTGTTTTAAGTTTGCACTTTTCTCTGTGTGGTTTTTAAGTGAATGTTGCCCTGAGAGCCTACATCTATCAAACAAACAAAATCAACTATTATTCTCACAAGAAGGCCTTCTCACTCACTCAGAAAAAAATTGTATGCTTGTTGCATGCACCTTTTTTTAAAGTAACCTTAAGGCTCCAGCTTCCTTTTAGACCACAAGGGATCAGCATTATCTCTCCAGAGCAGGGAGCGCCCTTTAATTAACCTTCAACCAGCTCCCTTCCTAGCACCCCTAAGGCCACCAAGTTGAGCACTGAAACATGTCATTGAGAGCTATCTTTTCAAGGTAGCAATGATTTTTTTAATGATAATTAAAAATAACCAGCTGCCTGAGTGGCACACAAGCAGATACACACCCACAGTGTAATATAAAAAGTGACAAGGTAAATCCACTTCTGCAAATGAGGGTGAAGCATGCCTTTTAGTTGCTAGTGCACCTACAAAAATAGAGGAAATATACATTTGTGCAGCATATAATTCAGGAAGGCAGCCATTTTTAATCTGAATGATGTGTCGCTAGAAAAACAGTCATGTAACGTGAACAATCTGGTCAGCAGGCTTTTTTGTTCCTGTGAAGAGGTGTGGTCCTGGCTTAGGGCAGATCTACCCTGTCCAACAAACACAGCTGCTGTGTGTATATTGGTGTCACACCACTGATTCAGTGCTCAGTGTGGGTGTCATGCATGTCTCGACACATGTCTGGGAACCCCGGCCATGTCAGAGTTCCCAGACATGTGTATATAAGTGGATGCCTTCCTAGCTTCCCTTGCCTTAAGTCCGGGATGGGGATCCTGTGGCCCTCCAGATGTTCTTGGGCTCCCAGCCCCATCACCCCTGACCATTGGCCATGCTGACTGGGTCTTGCCCATGCTTAGGCTGGAGTCCAACACATCTGGGAAGCCACAGACATACCAATTGTAATAGCTGTGCAAAGTGTAGAGCTGCCCTTAGAAAGGTCACCAGATACATTTCTATCCCATGTCCTTAATTTTCACGATTTCTTACTTACCCTTGAATACAAACTTAATTCGTTCTGGAAGTCCGTTCTTAAACCAAAGCGTTCTTAAACCGAGGTGCGTTTTCCCTACTGAGGCCTCCCACTGCCAGTGCCCTTCCACCATTCGGCTTCTGTTCATCTTCCAAGGCAAAGTTCGCTAGCCAGAACACCTACTTCCGGTTTTGCGGAGTTCGTTGCCCGAATAGTTCATTAACAGGACTGTTTGTAGACTGAGGTACCACTGTATTGCTAAATCTTTGTATTAGTTTTTTGTATTAGAGGTTATATTATTGGACTTCCCTGGGAAGAGGGGATGACTGTTAAACCGCTCTGATAACTGTAGCTCTGGGAGGGGAGTAAGGGTCACATAAGAACTTTCAGCACCCTTAACAAACTACAGTTTCCAGGATCCTTTGGGGATATCATGACTGTTTCAGGTGGGGTCTATAACTAGCTTCACTGTGGTTCCACAAAGGGAGATGACACTGGCAGCAGGACTGAGAAAAACCCACGGTGTGTCTACAAATGTACCACCTGAACCTCTTTGCAAGTTTACTCAGAAGTAAATTGTAGGGTGTAGCTGAATTAACTCCTCTGCCTTAAGGAGCCCTTGTGAATGGTCGTTCTGGGAGTAGCAGAGAGACCAGCTGCTGCAATACATGACAAGCTTCCTGTCCCTTGGATAATTGCACAGCAGAGGCAGTTTTCGGCAGGTGCAGACTTTTCTACCCCTGCAGCACTCACTGCAACAGGAGAATCACGACATGCAAGGCAGGGCATCCTGCAGAGCAGGTCTGATTTAAGAGGCATTTTCTGCTTCAAAGAGAACAATCTTCCAGATTCCCAAGGGGTCAGAAGGAAGCAGAGGAGAAACCCACAGGGAAAGAGAGAAAAGAGAGCACCACGCAAGTGGGGCCCAGGAAATTAGGGGCTGAAACTCAGACAATATGTGGCTCCATCTTGGGAAGGAATTGTTGTTGTTGTTGTTTAGTCGTTTAGTCGTGTCCGACTCTTCGTGACCCCATGGACCAGAGCACGCCAGGCACCTCTGTCCTCCACTACCTCCCGCAGTTTGGTCAAACTCATGCTGGTAACCTCGAGAACACTATCCAACCATCTCGTCCTCTGTCGCCCCCTTCTCCTTGTGCCCTCCATCTTTCCCAGCATCAGTGTCTTCTCCAGGGAGTCTTCTCTTCTCATGAGGTGGCCAAAGTACTGGAGCCTCAGCTTCACGATCTGTCCTTCCAGTGAGCACTCAGGGCTGATTTCCTTAAGAATGGATGCGTTTGATCTTCTTGCAGTCCATGGGACTCTCAAGAGTCTTCTCCAGCACCATAATTCAAAAGCATCAATTCTTCGGCGATCAGCCTTCTTGATGGTCCAGCTCTCACTTCCATACATCACTACTGGGAAAACCATGGCTTTAACTATACGGACCTTTGTTGGCAAGGTGACGTCTCTACTTCTCAAGATGCTGTCTAGGCCTGTCATTGCCCTTCTCCCAAGAAGCAGGCGTCTTTTAATTTCGTGGCTGCTGTCACCATCTGTAGTGATCATGGAGCCCAAGAAAGTAAAATCTCTCACTGCCTCCATTTCTTCCCCTTCTATTTGCCAGGAGGTGATGGGCCCAGTGGCCATGATCTTCGTTTTTTTGATGTTGAGCTTCAGACCATATTTTGCGCTCTCCTCTTTCACCCTCATTAAAAGGTTCTTTAATTCCTCTTCACTTTCTGCCATCAAGGTTGTGTCATCTGCATATCTGAGGTTGTTGATATTTCTTCCAGCAATCTTAATTCCAGCTTGGGATTCATCCAGCCCAGCCTTTCGCATGATGTATTCTGCATATAAGTTAAATAAGCAGGGAGACAAAATACAGCCTTGTCGTACTCCTTTCCCAATTTTGAACCAATCAGTTGTTCCATATCCAGTTCTAACTGTAGCTTCTTGTCCTACATAGAGATTTCTCAGGAGACAGATGAGGTGACCAGGCACTCCCATTTCTTTAAGAACTTGCCATAGATTGCTGTGGTCGACACAGTCAAAGGCTTTTGCATAGTCAATGAAGCAGAA